GAATATAACCGGTTTTCGACCTGTTCGGCAGCATTCTGGAATTGTAATCGCAGTTCCATTCAACCTGGGATGTTCTACGCACGTCGTAGTCACCCCCTCGACCTCCACCCTCGCCTCCGCGGGTGGTTACGATGCGGTCGGATTCCATTTTAATTACTTACCTTCGATCCGTGTCGCCGTACCGTACCCTGTGCCCCGGCGGCGTCTCGCATCGTGTCGCGTCGCGTCGGACGTGATGTGCTCTCTCGTGATGTATTACTCTTTAGTTAACGACACGTTAATATCACCGGAATTATTGATGCAGTCTTTGACCGTAAAAACAAAAGAATGGCACATTTTCTAACGGTTGAAAATTAATAACTTTTTTCGCGAATTAAATTCCATAGTAATGAAAATACGATAAAATGAAAGTACGATAGATACATTCGTAATAAAGATTTTTTTTCATTTCTTGCTTTATTTCGAGCGGAATTTTTCATTTAAAATTTATGATTTAAAATTGAAAAGCTATACTATTGCAGCGTAATTTTGGAAAATCGCCAAGAAATAACTCTTCTCTTCGATGTTTTTAGATTTTTTAAATAACAATTATTTTAAAATAAAAAAATTATTAAAGATTGTGACGATGATGATCTTGTACAGCGAGAAACCATTTTTTTGTGTGTAAAAAGTAGTTTGTTTTCGCGACTTCGAGCTTTTGTACTTAATCCTTAACTCTTTCGATCTAATACATTTTTTTCGCTAAAAGTCGTTTTAAGCGGCGTCTACATGAGACTTAAGACTTAGAATTTAAGAAAATTGACCAATCGGCAATCATAATCGATTATTCTTCTCATGTAAAATGAATATTCTACTATGATCAATTTTCTTAAATCTTAAGTCTCATTGTAGACGCCGCTTTAATGTGTCTTATGTTAAATTATGTTTAATGAAAGATAAAAATAATGTATTTCTCTCGTTTAACAGCGAAAGTATCAAATTACGATTGTTAATTTCCAGATGTAAAACGGAAACGGAGGAAATGATGAAAAGCCTTCATGCGGAAACTGTTACGCTAATTGAAGCTATGTATTGCGCACCGCCACGTAAAAGAATTGATAAGCCTGTGCTTTTTTAAATTTCCTCGGACTTGACGTTGCGCTTGATCTTCATAGTGGATGAAAACCGGCATATTCTCGCGACTCGGAATGAAAATTGCAGAGCTATGATGCCGAAATAGCCACTATTTGTATACGTGATGTAGATTCCGTCCACGAAGTGAGAAAATGAGAAAATACTTGGGAAGATACGCGCGCGCCCGCACAGAATTGTGTTCATATACATCCCGGCAAAGAGAGGCGATACTGTAATCAAACTCGGTGAATTTTTGAAGGCCTGTTCTACTTACGCTATTGTTTCATTCGGAGAGAGAGGTAGATCGTAATGCCGTGCATTAATTCAGCGCGCGCGCAAAAATTCGAGCGATACGCGCGTTTGAGAGGGGAGCCGCGTGTGAATAATAACGCACTTCGAAATTTCAAAATGATGTAATTTCGCGCACTCTTGATATCAAATAATGCCGTATACATCATGCACGATTTATGATCGTACAGATAATCGCGACGATAAGATTTATAACATCGATGCAAAAGGTTATTTGCAATGTTTATCTTTCCTAGAATTTAAAGACAGCGATTATATAGAGGTTTTGTCATAATTCAACTTAATGCTGGGCACGCGAAAAATTCGAGTGACGTATATTTAAGAGAGTGAAGTACAGTATGAATAAGAAACGCATCTCTTGAGAGCGAGCTATATAATCGTAAAAAATATTTGGCAAATTATTAAATTATATTATATATTATCAAAATATAATTTATATGTAACTGTATCACAAAGTGGAGATTTCTCAACTATTCAAGCTATCGTATCGAACGCATCGAACTATCCATACACGGAAAGAACGATTTTGTTGAAAGATCTAAAAATTTTGTCAAAAACAGATCTGAAAATAATTTTTTATTACATCATCGAAATAATTTGTTGGAATGTTAAAACTGCTAAGCATTGCTATAAAACGTTTTGATATTCTAGCAATCATTTTGACTTTCGCACAAAATTATTTTGATTATTGAACAAAAATTATTTTCAGATCTGGATTCAGCAAAAGTGTTCTTTCCGTGTAGAAATTTAATCCATTTGTAGTATAAGACATGCGCGCAGGCGATATACAGACAAGTACATATATTTTTAAATCGCATGCACTTAAATAGATTGTAAAGATTTTATGCGAGATTTCACTTCGTAGTTTTTTATAACTCTTATAAAATTTTTCCATAAAAAATTAAGAATATTCGAAATAATTGAAAGAAACATCTGTTACGTAGTGGCAAAAATGTCGCGAATGATGGACGTAAAATATTGAAAACTCTACTGTAAAAATACGAATTCTCAGGAAAACACTATTAAGATAGAATTTATCAGAGATTATCAGAGATAAAATGGTTTATTTGAATTGGAAGTATTGAAGTAGAGACAAAGTAAGATATATGCGGAGAAGACTAAGAGGAGCGTGTGTGAAAGCTAGAAAAGATAGATATATATTAATATAGATACGATATATAGTGAATTGATAGCGGATAGTCGTCTAAAGAGATCCATCTGTCTTACATTAGAAGTGTGAGAACTCGTACTTGTAATTCTGGATCAGTTCTAATTTCTCCAATTCTCTTCAGAATTTCGAGGTAAAGACTGAAAAGATTCTTAAATGACTTAAATGTCTTATTTACTGATGCAACATATTTCATGCCACAACTATTATTAATTTTAACACAAACAGATTTTTTAAAAATACTAATTTTATTTGCTGAAAATAATTTCGCAAAATTCTATCATGGATGGACTCCATTTCGCTCCGAAAATTAGATTTGCCTTAATAGCAAATTCGTGTTTCTGTGAATATAGATTTACTCAACAAGATTTATCACTGAAAACTAATTGTAATAAAATTTGATTGCTTTTAGGTTGCAAGTAGAGCATTAATGATTTTGCTGCGACAGCAAGATCCTTTCTTTCCACGTTATAATTCCGAAAGGAGGGATACTTTTAAATCGCTTATGTGTGTGTAGCTCACTATTTTTTTCTCACTACATTTCTCGTTTTTATCTCTGAGCTTTCTAGCTTCTCAAGTCAGTCGAACGTCTGCAGAGTCTTAAGAAACTCGTCGTATTGTAGAAGTGCGACAGTCAATTCGTTTGCAAACGAGTAGTCGTATCACGACTGAAGAAAATTCAAATTTCTCTTTTGATTCTTTGCTGTTAATGTTAAAACAGTAATATACAGCAGGTAATAAGTGCAAAAAGAATAAATTATTATAAAGATTATTCATTCTTGAATATTACGAAAGTAAAAATTTAATATCGCACGTAGATATGCAAAATGTAGTTCGAATAATTTTGTAAGTAATAATATTTTATATTACAAATGTTCTATTACTGTCATATTATTTTTTTATTTCAAATTAATTTAAGAATATATCTAGGTGTTATTAAAAAATAACGCTAAATTGAGATTAGGTATTATGTAGAAATATAACGATAATTAGTTAAATTAAAAGAGATAATGAGGACGATTACATCAACGTTAAAATTCTATTTGTTTAAGGCTTAAATTTTCATTTTTAAAAATGAAGATTACTGTATAATAAATAAAAAACTAGCAAAAATAAAGATCAAGATTTTTGAATTCATAATAAAGTTGTCGAATAATTTATCGGAGCACATTAATTTTTCTATGAAATTAATAGTAAATTAATAGTGACAGCAGATAAGAGACACATATGGTTTCTCTAAAACATCCCGAAAATAGAATAGTCTAGATTATCATTAGCTAAAGAACATTACATTGAAAATAGTCGACCTCATTACTATCTAAATATACAATGATACTTTTAATTTTTAATTTATTTTTATAATTTCGATCGCTCCGCGTACAATTATTATTACTCTTTACATTTTAAAAAATCCCAAGCACGTGTTCATCCATTTATTCGGTATTCATATCCTTATTCGGGCATTCGCGTAGTTCATCAGTATTAAACTTAGAAGGAAAGTTAGCCACCGCGCGGCCCGAAACTACTTTATACTTTTCCTCATTCGCTTTTAAACTCCTTGCACGGTAAGTTCTTCTAATGAGAGGTGATATATTTTAAATTCATTGAATTTAAGTTCGATTCTTTTTACTCTTTCGAACATTATACGCTTAAAAAGTTGTTCCGAGGAACTATTACGTTGTCGCTGCCAGTAGTGTGACCTCAATTGTAAATTGAGTGCCGCTAGTAAAAGTTATCGCTACTAATCGTCTAGCAAATCTAATTTTCTATTGTAACATTCATACTTGGTAACCAAATCCGAATATCTCTGCACAGAAACTTTATAAAATTATTAATTTAACGATTCTTTTCTTCCTCTCCGATTTTCGAGAGGTTTATAAGGATTCGTCAAGAGCGACAGAAATCGTGCGTTATTCAATCTAGAGAAACCATCAAGTTTCGCAAATAATTACTTTGTTCCGTTTTCACTGAATAAATTTAATTCGCGAATAACTCTTTTCTCAATTGCTCGAATGTTCAGTTTCAATACAAAGGGAATTTCTTTTGTCGTGTCATAATACGATCTTTCTCGCGACAATAACAATTTTATCACAGATGACATTATTGAGGAATATTGTAAATATCTCGACAAATCTGAACGCGACTGTGTACTTAGATTAGTTTGTTATCACGTACGAATCTGTTTATATGATCTATGTAATATCTTTCTACCCCAATTACATATTTGACTACACAAAGTTAGATAGACTGATCCAATAAAAGAACCACGTTCTTAATATTGAAGATATTTTTAATCTCTCACAATAGCATACGATTAGTGAATTATGTCATGCGACAATACCGTGTTCTATATTTTCAAATGTTAAATAGACATATGTATCTTTATAGACATCACAGATAAAGACTGCCTCGTTGCAAGTTTATTAATTATTTTACACACGTTACACGCATAGATTAAGCACGACAAAATAGTAATTCGTACATAAAAAAATTCGGCATTAAAGATATTACGTTAAAAAAGCACGCGTGCACTTTTTATAAAAATTAATTAAATTAATAATTACATAAATTACATTATAATTTTAATTAAAAATTTTGTAATTACAGCAGAGAACAAATCCCTGATGTTATTATAGAGATGCTCATTGACTTTGATTAATCGGCAGCTTGCGTATGATTTTAGAAATCATATTTATGCAAATGTAGTAATATCATTGAGTATCAGGAAAGACCGTGGAAAGTTAACTAACAGATGAGATCTTAAAACGCTAACACGGTACAAAGCGGATCTTGGTGCTTCCATATAATATTAGTGTAAATCTTACAATTTTCGATTCATATAACACCACGTGGCCGCAAATCGCGTGCATCTCCGTAGCTCCGAACCAAGTAGTATGTAATTTCACAATTAAATTGCCAACGGCAATCTAATAAATCGATGCTCAAATCATCCTGTGAAATCCCCTCCTCCCCACCTTCACGACATCAAATAAATGCTAACTTGCTTCTATACGAATCTATAAAGAATTTATTGCGAAAAAATATCACCTCATGTTCTCAGCCAGGAATCGAACTCGAATCTTCACGTTTGCTGAACGGGCATTCATTGCAATAAATAATCTAGCGCGTTTTCAAGTTGCGTAAATTCAATATATATATATATATATATGTTTGAGCGAACGTATTATCAAGGTAACGTATAAATAATTGAGTATCAGGAAAGACCGTGGAAAGTTAACTAACAAATGAGATCTTAAAATACCAACACGGTACTAAAGGTAGGACGCCCGTCCGGCAAATGTGGAGATCCGAGTTCGATTCCTGGCTGAGAACATGGGATCATATTTTTTCGCAATAAATTCTTTATAGATTCGTATAGATGCAAGTTAGCATTTATTTGATGTTGCAAAAGGGGGGGGGGGATTTCACAGGATTTGATGCTTTTGAGCATCGATTTATTAAATTGCCATTGGCAATTTAATTGTGATGTTACATACATACTACTTGATTCAGAACTACGGAGATGCACGAGATTTGCGGCCACGTTATACGTTGGTGTTATATGAATCGAAAATTGTAAGATTCACACTAATATTATATGGAAGCACCAAGATCCGCTTTGTACCGTGTTGGCGTTTTAAGATCTCATTTGTAATAATATCATTTTTCTGCTTGTATTCACTATTATTATTTTCTCTGCAGAGTGAAACAAAATGCAAACGTTTTATTTAATTCCGTTAGGTATCTGTACTTATTTTGAATTCGTGATTTATCTCCCGATTTTTAATAATATCATTTAGATATTAGTTTCTACGTAATTATGCTCGTGTAATTAAAAGATTCTCTGTTCATCTTTTGTGAAATTGATGAAAATCTGAATGCCCGTAGACAGATGCTTGTTAGAAACAGTTTGCCAACTCGATAGTGTGACGTTGTCACATAAATATCACAATCGCATATGTACAATCTATGCAAAGTGTTTTTATTGAATTACGCTTGTTTTTATCTTAGAACATATATTACTGGAAGGAGAATAGAGTGCTGAACGTGAAGCCAACATATGTGCGAGAGAGAAAGGTATAGATTCCCATTTGTCTGTAATGCGCATGTGCCATTCAGCCCCCACTTAGTCCCGTTTTTCATTTTTTTTAAAAAGATTTTTGAAAAATAAGAAATTAGGCAAAACGGGCTGAGTGAGGGCTAAATGGCACATGCGCATTACAGACAATTGGGAATCTATACCTTTCTCTCTCGCACATATGTTGGCTTCACATTCAGCACTCTATTCTCCTTCCAGTAATATATGTTCTAAGGTTTTTATTGAATTATTAGTCATATGGAGGGACTAACTTTTGACTGGGACTTGCACGATAAAACCACCTTAACGCACGAGAAACTCATAATATAAAAAATACAATAATAAAAAACAGGTAAAACATAGATTAGCGGAAGGTGAACTGTTTGCTATCTAATGCTTATTTCTCGAAATCCACACTGGTAAGTGTCAGTTTGAATAAGACCATCGTCCAGTCGTCACGCGTTTTCTATAGTCTGATATTAAAATTATCGGAAGCATCATGTAAGTGCCAAGAACTACTTTTGTTATAGACTCGTGCTCACGGAATATCTCTGAATTTAATTTACGCCGTTCAGTCTACCAGATGACCAGTCTATCATGGCAAACTTTCAACGTCTCGTAAGCATCGCGCTAATATTGTATTCCTGTTTAATAACGACATTACGGACTTCGGAGGTGAGCGTCATAAAGCCGACAAAGCAGAAAGCTGAGACATTACGATTAGTCAACGCGGTAAGTGATTTGAAAAATCACACTTTGTCACAAAAGATATACCTCGAGTGTATGCAAAACTAACATATAAGTGAAATGTGAATTTTTCAGGTATTTAGACATGGCGATCGTATAATAGACAGATCGATTCAAGAATCTTATCCACACGATCCGTACAAAAGTCAGAATTTCTATCCAGACGGCGACGGGCAGTTAACTAAAGTAAGATCTGATTTACAGCATAGATATATTACACCGTTTTTGTTAATTCCTTTATCATTAAGACTTATAACGTGACGTATTATGCGTGTATAGAAATAATCTTTAAAAATTATTGTATATTCGCGGAGATTGTTCTACTCGCTGTACATTTTTTAACGTAAGATATTCCTTATCAATTGGATAACTTTAATTGATTTTTTATAACAAAGCTATCAAGGAAAATTAAAATTTCTTGTACTTTAATTTCCTATAACTTTATAATTTTCAACGTCGTATGCTTGTTAATTGAATTTCAAACTAGAAATTCAGACGGATTCCGTTTACAATTGTTTAAAAAACATAATTTTGTTATTTATTTTAGTTTTATAAAAATCCGTTCTTTTTTTTATTACTCCTATTAAACTCAAAAATCATGTACTCGCATTCGAAAATGTCTCGACATTGTTGCTAAAAAAAAATTTGCTTAAAAAAATCTCGCGTTCGAAATGTGATGCGCAAAAAGTGAGACGTTCTGCATATATAAATTAGTATTAATGCATGCATTACGTCTACAGCCTTTCGTAAAGCTTTTCGTAGTGTATCATAGTGAATATACGGGTAGCGCAGGTAAGTACGGTCGCGACAACGGAAAGATTGACATTTTTTTCATTTCTCCGTTTCCGCATGGAGTACATCGCTCCTTTATTTTTAAGTTTTCGTCACCTTCTTGCAAGAAATATTAATAGCAATGGTCGCAATTCTTTATTTTTCTTCTATATCTTTATTAACGACGTTCAAGGACGGCAAGAAAAGGGCATACGAATTAGGACTAGCGCTAAGAGACCGATACAGCAACTTTCTCGGGAATGTGTATTATCCACCGGATGTCTACGCACGTAGCACATGGATAACTCGAAGCAAGATGACTCTACAATTAGTCCTTGCGGGGCTTTACCCGCCTATCGTTGACGTTCAAAAGTGGAATTCGAAGCTTCTTTGGCAACCGACAGATATGATATACTTTCCACCTAATTGCGATCAGCTAATGTTTCCAATTGCATGCTCTGAGTAAGTAAAACCTCTTTCCTTTAATCAATATTATAGTTATAAGTCGTACGATTGCATAATGTTTCGGTTACGTTTGCATTTACAACAATATTTCATGATATAAACGAGTTGATTATTTTATTCTTTGCATAAATTTATTAAATTAAATTGATTAATACAATTAATATATTTTATATATATTATATATATAATAAATAAATATTTTTATAAAATATTTAATTGTATTAATTAATTTAATTTAATAAATTTACGCAAAGAATAAAATAATCAACTCGTTTATATCGTGAAATATTGTTGTGAATGCAAAATGTATATATATATATATATATATACCTATATATATACCTACCTATATATATACATATATATTTCAACGATTCTTAAAGTTTGTTGATAGATGCGCTATATTTTGAAAAAATTAAATGTAAATTGTATCATCTATAAATAAATTATCATAATTATTACCTAGATTATATATTTCTTGTTAAAGTTAAGACTCGACAATAATATTAAAGATTTCTTCTTATGTGTGCATTTGCGTTCAACAGATATCGCGATACTTTGCAAGAGCTGCTACAAAGTTCAGAAGTGAAAAAGAAAACAGAAGAGTATAACGATTTGATGAAGATATTGTCAAACCATACAGGACATAATATCACCGATCTCCTGGGTCTCACGCGTTTGCATGCTACTTTATATATAGAAACATTTATGGGATTGCGTTTACCTGAGTGGACACATAATGTATATCCGGGTGGCAAACTTTTGAATGCGTCGCTTGCATTTTTCAAAATACTTAATCACGAGAGGTTAAATAATCTCAATGGAGGCAAGTTTTAAATAAAAAAAAAATATATAGATATATGTAATATTGTACTTATGAATTATCTAATTATTAAGAAATAATCCCAGATTGGTCTACTAACAAAAAAGGGCTTAATTCAGAAGATTATTTATTGATTATATTTATTAAGATTCTTGAAATTTTACTTCTACTGCAATAGTTTAAGAGTACATACGTAACAAGCTCTCATTATTACCAATAATAGGAATGCACATTATCATTCTAACACTGATAATTCTGATTATCAAGAACTGAAATAAATCATCCCAATTATTGGAAAATATAATTGGTTTCTCTAATTGTAAAAAACGAATCTCTCAATTATATGTAACGTACGTAATCGTTAATAAACGATATTTATGAATAGTGCTTATTTATGTATTTCCACAAAATATTCATACAATCTTTTGCAGGTATTTTATTGACTAGAATAATTGACGACATGAATGAAGTAATCAACGGAAGTACAAAGCAAAAAATTAATCTCTTCTCCGGACATGACATAAATGTGGCTGCATTGTTATACACTCTAAATCTAGACATAATCAAACATCAAATGCCAGAGTATACGAGTACCGTTCTTGTAGAATTACACGAAAAAAACAAAAAGTATTTTGTCAAGGTAAGTGTGTCATTTCCATTTGTTAGTGCGTAACAACGAGAATGAATTTGTCATTTGACTGACAAATAATTAATGAATAATACTCGCTTCTTGCAGGTGTTGTATTATTTAGGTATTCCATCGAAAACACTAGAACTTAGCATTCCCGGCTGCGAAGTATTATGCCCGTACGATAAATTTATCAAATTAACTAAAAAGTCAACTCAACTAAGGAGCAGCAAGACATTAAAAAATCCATGTGATCCAATGGCATCGGAGAAAAAAGCAACCGATCCACCATTAACACCATTTAATACATAGTCTGAAGATTAACGAACGTCTGAATGAAGCTTCAAAGTTTTTATAAGAATTTCTCACGAAACTGAGTATCCATACAGTAATATTTCTTTTGCGAAATATGTATTCTATTCTCTTATTAGAAATAGAATTAAGATTACTCGAGATTACATTTATGTCGAATGATAGGTGAGATTTCTAACGTTATTGTTAGCAGCTCAATTTTATTTGAAATAACGTAACGAAATAGTTGATCAGGAAAGAGAACACGTTTTATAATATCTCATTTTACAACGTCCTCAATTTTACAGTACATACAGTAGTATAGTTTTACAATACCGTCTTCTATCTAACGTAATAAAATCGGCGTAGCAGTCAGTTTTATTACATTTTCCTCATTATATCCGATATCGTAACGCACGAAAACTAGATGCCCATACGATCGCGGAAAGTTAAGTTCGTTAAGTATGCTGAGAGCCGTGTCTTATCGAAGACACGGAGCTCAGATCCTCCGCCTACCGTGCCGTAGCATAACAATTACCCTATTATTTCGCACACACCGCCGCGGCGATTCGTTGGGCCTATACACCGCAACATTTCCGTTCCACGATATACTCTCAACTTCCATTAAGGCTAAATCTTTTCGGCCGTCGCGTAAGCAGATATCAACGTTGAAGTTTAATTTGCCCTTTTACGTTATCACCACTTATGTGCGAGAAACCGATGAATTTTATTTTGATTTGATTCCAAATGAGTCTTTTATAATATAATATGTTGTATTATAAAAGGAAAATTATTATTAGATATATTATTTTTATATACATGATACATTAGTTTTAATATAATTATACGACATGTGTAACTTCATGTAAAATATAAAATAAGATTTTTTATGTGTGTGTTTACCAACATAGTTATATTATATGACTTGCTGTATTCAACATAATTGTTATAAATCTAAATTTTATAAATAAAAACACACTGACCTATATATTCTTCTATGTTTACAAGTTAAGAGAACTACTTCTATAAAAGAACAATCTCGCACCGAGAGTTTAGAAAATTTTTGTACGAGGGATAGAAACGATGCCAAACAGTATAGTTTATCGTATACTGAATTAGCCGCGCCGTGTTCTTTCAATTTTGAAAATCATTGCCGAAACTTGTCGCCGGAAAAGAATAGGAGGTTTCAGCTATTCTAAAGACAAAAGTTCATCTTTCTTTTTTCCCTTTTCTTTCGTGCCGGGCCATCCTTTTCTGTTACCCCTTTTTCTACTGTAATCCCACCCTCGCCTCCGTCGGGATAAACTCTTGAAATTTCCGAGAGTTGCCCGGATGAGAAGAACCAGTTCCGCACTCCTAATTCTGCGGAATTAAACTCGCGAAATCGTTCTAATTGCGGATACAGAGACCATCGGGGCACTTGCATCGAACCGAGTTGCATTGTACTTTTAACGATGTAATACTACGATTGAATTAATCACCGTTCAATTTCCATTATACGGCCGTTAAATTGCATTTATGCCGAACGTCGTGGTTATAATTTGACGCTCATTTACAATCGATAGAAAATATATTATTTTACCGAAGACATCCTGCAGTACAGCAGGAAATGCAAGTCCCTTTCAATAAATTCTAGTTAATTTTTTCCAATGTATTCATAATTATTAAATCTTGAATTAAAAATTCGTTCAGGTATGAAATTATTAATCAATTTTACGAAAAATGAGTCCTTTTCAATTACGCGATTATACGAGCTTGCATTTCTGAATACAAGAAATGTAGGAAAGGGTTAAATAGAGCATTCCTCGAGTTCCCCAGACGGGCGCGTGACACAACGGCCGAGAAAATGCAAAATTTGCCGAAAAGACTGCCACGTGCGGAAGTTAGTTTGAAAACGCACGATTTAATTGAACATTCGTAATAATTTGTCTGCACGAGAGGGTGCTAACTGAAACTCCGCGGTTCGCGTTCGCGTGCGATTCGTCGGCGGCGAGGAATTAGCACGAGCTGTCGAGTAGACAATACGGAATTAATTATAATTAACTGCCATTCACAAAAGTTTCCGCGGAACAATTTTGTGGTCGCACCATGCCGGTTATAATGAACTCTCTCCTGGCAGCTCCTATCATTTACATACTCTTACATTCAAACTGGGTTTTCGTTTGGCTGCTGCACTGGTTCGCGACAACCCCAAGAGAAACTTCTTTAAATTATGCCCTTTGGAATATACCTTCGGCATGACGTAGAATATAACGTCCGCTGAAAACTTTCCACCGGCACCGAAGAAATATTGTTGCAACATCGTAAAAATGCATACGACTGATTCTTACTGTCATATGCAGCAGAGATTATACATTTCGAAAGAAAAGCTCTTTAAGGAGAAAAAGGTCTAATGGAAAAAAAGTGAATTTAAACTGAAATCTAATTTTGTTATTGCACATTTATACACATTATACTAATAAAAATTAACCGTGTGAGTATTTATTATATTTCCTACCATGTCGATTAATTTAAAGTAAGTTTGTAAACTTGCAACAAAATTTTTAAAAAGATTAATCCTTGATTTAACTTTTTAAATAACAATACTAAAAAGATCTTTCGTAAACTTTTATTAATCATTTTATATATTTTATTTATGCGAGAAAAAGTCAGAAAGTAAGATCTCGAATTTAATTTATGTAATTTTTTATTACTTTGTAGCTATCTCGTCGCATGCAGTACATCCGTGGTAATTAAATAGGGAACCTTACTTTATGACTTCTCCTCGTATATGTCGTCATTTATGTGCGTTGAACGGCGACTCGGAAAAGCTTAGAAATAATTAGCTTAATAATGTTACTGTTCGGTAAAATTTGATAGCTTTATTAATATTGTTTCAACGCCAATTAACGCTCGACTAACACTTTTTATAGCTTGATACCCTGGCGCGCGTACCGTATCGTTGCAGGTTTTCTTCAGTTCAAGGAATAGCGCTGGCCATGTGGCCCTCGTATTTACGACTTTGTCCTACATGCAATAATCTTTCCCGTATTGCTCTACCGTGTTAATCAATTTCACGCGAAGCCTCGTAAGATCGTGACAATTGATGGTGATGTGTCAGTTGTCACTCTAAAAGAACAAGAAATCAAGAGCACTACGTTCTCGTATAAAAAATAAAGAACACCCACGCGTTGAAGAATGCAAAAAAATAATAATTTTTTTATTTACTGAAACACCGATCTCGGTTAAAAAGCTATCTATGACAACGGTAACCGTTAAATTAAATTAAATTGGATAGTGTCTCGGTTTGTGAATAACGATTTGCAAACCACTGCGGGAGTTTCAAGGTACACCGAAAGAAGGAGGTAGTCTCTTTCTTCCTCTCTCTCTCTTTCTCTCTCTCTCTCTCTCTCTCTCTCTCTCTCTCTCTCTCTCGCTTCCGCGACGTAATCCGGATTCTACCGAGTAATTTGTGAATCTGAGGGAGGAGGAAAAAAAGCCAGCGATTATCTCGCGTATGTGCGCGCGCGTATGTGCACGCGCATAATATTAGGGAATGTAAGTGTGGCACCGAGCTGACGTTCGGTAGTGCATTATCAGTTCGCCTCGCGCTCATAGGAAACCGCAATTTCCACAAATTACACGGATGAAAACTGACTCTTGCGACTGTACACCATCGGCTACAGCGCGGTGGAATTCATGGGTCGCGGGTTATGCCGCATTCGGTGGTATGTAGTAATTAGCAACATTGCTCCCAGATCTCCCGTGGATGGGAGGATCGGGCGAGGGCCGAGCGAGACGAGGGGGGAGGGGCGATGGGGAGGGGGAGGGGTGAATCCGCCGGCACAGATTTCATTTCGAAGGAATAGAACGCAACGGCGGCGATATTATCTTGTGCCCGTGTGTTGCGACCGTGACGTTTAACGATCGGTCATGCCAAGACTCTCTCTCTCTCTCTCTCTCTCTCTCTCTCTCTCTCTCTCTCTCTCGCGGCACCACCGGAAATCGAGAACAAAACGCTGCCACGTATATTCTTAGCCTAGAGAGACATCCCGTGACTGAGGTCGCGGGTCGCGAAATTATTCATTCATGTAAAAATTGTCGCAATCGTAATTAAAAATTTCAATAATGTATAACGGAAATCCGATCATTATATCACCACCATCAGTGTTTCTAATTTTACTGTAGTGCAAAATGCGAACGGAAAGAAACTCATTCGAGTCGGAATGGCTTAAACGGTCCAAAGAGGATTGATCTTATATTTCTCTCGTGACTGACACAATTTTGAATGAATATTTTCAAAAATAACTATTCTAAAAAAATAAGTATTCTCCTATCCATTTTATTTTTTCTCTTTATAACATTGACTGCGACGTCATACGACATATCATATTGTACTCAAATATATGACATTATTTTCGGAAACGCTTTGTCACTCAAATGACATCAAATTTTTGTAATTCTTGTTATGATCTCCTTCGACGTAAAAAAAGAAGTAACGAAATTATGTTTGACTGCCTGGAAATTTCTTGTAAATTGAATATCCTTTGCATATGAATGACGTGGAAATCAATATTTAACAAGCGTTGATACATATATATTGAAATATAATAAATTAACATCTTGAAATGCACAGAAATAACGATCGATTCGACGTTACACTTTTAAAAATATGAATGTGAATATGGTGGTATGTTCCACACACCATTGGTGGCAAAATCACATCTATATTTTTAAGGGTACAAAATATTTTATCGTCAAACATTCTGTGATCTCGCTGTCGAGCGCGTTCAAGAGAGTCGCGATCGGCGTGTTTCGTTTTTGACAAGGGCAGGGGAAGATGTAATATTATCAATAATCGATACGTTTTCTCGCGATCAAAGTGGAACTGTGCGAAGGTATCCCCGATCGATTTTTCTGCCGTCACGACGAGAAGAGAGCCGGGAACGAGACTTTCGCATCGAGTTTTGCTCCCGCGGAACGTCTTCCCCGCCGAGTTTATTAAAGCGCCGTGCAGCTGTAGCTGAATTATCGCCGGAGTTTCCTGTTTCGGCTCCCCCGCGGCAAAAAGCGCGCGCGGCGCTCAGCGGGAACGAGACAATTTGACCGCCTTATTCGAATTTACTTTTCTCCCGCGCGCGCGAGCGCGCTCGTATCTGGGCGCCGTAACTTTCTGCCGTAGGCGGAGAGGGCATCCAGGCAGGCGGTTGCGCCATTACCCCCCTCCCCTCCCCGACCCCCGAAGCTAATGTACCCTCACAACGATCATTATGTAAATTCAAGTGTGATAGAGCGCCCGCGCCCGGGCTGTAACGCGAGCGAAACTTTTTCCACGGAAGCTAATCAATTCATTTATCGTGTACCCGATGTACCCGCCGCGCGTTCGTTGAGACGGCGCAAGTATCAAGGACTCTCCTCGAGAGGCTGCCGAATTTCCGGAGGGATAGATAAATACGCCGTGGGAGGGAAGAGAGGGGTCACGCGTGCCCCTCCCTCCATTCCCCCTCGTTGTTAACCCACACTTTTATTACGAATCTTTGCAGACGATAAAAATGCCACGCAACAATCGAATAGCTATTATTATTATTATTATTATTATGTTTCCAGATTGGTCCAGATCCGACTGCCCTTCAATTCGCGCGTGTTCAACGAGTGTGAGGAATTAAGAACAGTGACATATAAAGGAACGCTCGCATAATTATCCGTGGAATTAAACTCACCGGGATCTCGTCGGCGATTTCCTCAACGCCGGAAGCGCGCGCGTCCGCCGCCGCCGCCGCCGCGCGCGGACGTCAGTCGGCAGGCCGGAATCTCGTTATCCGCCCGCATCCGCGGCGGGTCCCGCGGCTGCAGGGAGCGCCGGTACGGACAAAAGAGAGCGCGACAGCGCGCGCGCGCGCGCGCGCTCGATGCCGGATCGCGGGAGGGAAGGGGGGTCGCGAGAGCGCCGGAAACTTTCCGCGTTAATGAAATTTCTTTGGGCGAGAAACTCTTCACACCGCGGGGCGCGGCGGGCGGCGCCGCCGCGAAGAAGCCGCCGCAAAACCGCGCGCACTTAACCGCAGACGAAATAAAGGAGGGAGGGGGGGCGGAGAACGCAAACGGCCGATTATTATCTTCCCCCGCGTTCGTCGCCGGCTTCGCGCTCCCGGTGACCCTTTTTCAACCCGATCGCGACGAGCGACGCGTTCGGGTAGGATCGATCCCTCGACCGACGCGTGTCGAGGAATCGATTCCTCGCGGCGCGCCGCATCGCACGGCGTTGCAACAACAGTCCGCTACGGCGCGCGTGCCGCTTTCTGTCGTCTGCGAGTGCTGCTTCGCCGTCGATCGTGTTTACGTTCATGAATGGTCCCCCGCAGTCTTCTGAGAACGTCTGGCGGGGACAGAGCGCGATAAGGTGAGAGAGCCGGTGACTTTTTGCCGCTGACGATAAATCGCAGCGATAAAAGACCGCCTAAAGTTCAAGTTTCTCTAACGATTTCTTTTTTTTTGTTTTTTTATAATAGGGTCGTTTGCGTAACCTCTTCTCCTTGAGATGTACTCGTTCTACTTTAAGTTCTACTTGTTTACGGTAAAATAACGTAATACGGAAAAGTCGTGCCGTGGATTTATTTCATTTTTAGACGCGTTTTTTTTTATGTGCGACGTCCGATTGCAAGAAATTCTTCTGCTCCTCTGTTCTCATATCGTGCCTTTACACGTTACTTTATTTCATCTCAATGTTTTGTTGTCTGTTCAGACTCTATCAGTGTGTACGATGGCTCAAAGCGATCCAAGAATCCCAAATTTGCAGGACACATTCACTCCTGTCGGTTCACAACTGTCTGGAATATATAAGCGGTAATTTCTGAATTGCTTAATGCCGTGCTTGTTATCAATTCGCTGACCTTTGACACGAGAGGCTACAGCGGTATCTTTCACTTATGTTGCAGAAGTTACGCTCACGTGACAATCAGGGACAGATTGCCGGTGATATTAACGAAAATCATTGATACGTTGTGCCAGAATAAAAGCAGAATCATAGATACGTACAGTGAGGTAATCTTTATGTAGAGGCAATATATGTATATGTGATGTAGCAATCAGATTGCTCATAATATATTATTATGCCTTGAGATGCAAAATATATACTGCTGAATTACAGGATGCCGAAAAAGATATCAAAGAGATCATAGGATTCATAAGTCAACTGAAAAATGAGATAGTCACTAACAAGGCCTTGAAGCCACTGCATTTAAATACCAAAGCAGCTAGTAATGACGCAGAGGAATGGAATAAATATCTAGAGTGCAGAACGTGCGTAGAAGGTGGAGCACCGACATGGTTCAACACCGCCTGGTTGTACTGCGAATGCTACATGTATCGTGTATTAGCTCAAGAAATTGGTTTGATGTAAGCTTTAATACATTGAACACGTAACATAAACTCATAGATTATTAGAAGAAGCTAAAATTGTTTTGCAATACTAGGAATATCATGCGCAATTACGATCCGTTCGAGTATCAAAAGCAAGCGGATTTTATCAACTCCATCGAGTCTATGGACTTAATGATTGCCTTGTATATAAAAGACATAATATGTAATAAGGAATACAATAAGGGAAACTCGAGGAATGACTTTCTGAAATTTTTGAAATTGAGCTTGTGGGGCAACAGGTTGTATCTCTATCTAATTCTCTCCAATACGTTTGTCTTCTATAACGATGCCTTATGAATAAACAACGATACCTTTACAGGCACGATCTATCTGCAACTGCAGGAGCCCCTAGTAGCCAGACTGGTAATCCGCTCGTTATAGTGGAGTCTCTAAACGAGAATATAGTGGTAAACGATTGGGAGAGTGTGTGGGATATCGTGAACAAAAAGATGAAGGAAAACGATAATGTTCACATAGTACTTGATAACGCGGGATACGAACTCTTCACCGATCTATGTTTAGCCGCTTTTCTGGTTACTATTGTACCTACGACTAGGATAACGTTTCACGCAAAATTGTACCCGTGGTACGTGAGTGATACAACTGTTCGTGACTTTCTCTGGACATTAGATTACATGAACAGCCTGAACAGTTATCCAAATATGCAATTATTGGGTAAGACGTTCAAGAATCTACTGGACCAGGAAATTTGGCGTGTCAAGGTACATTTAATTTGCATCCTCTGAAACTGTTGTAGACTATTCTACACGTAAAGTTATGTTGAATGTAACTTGAGCTTAACTTTTACCCAACAGGACGAGCCTTATTGGACGGGACCGTATGATTATACGCAAATGAAAGAAAAAGAGAGAAATATATATGCTCAATTGTCCGACGCTAAATTGGTAATATTTAAGGGTGATCTGAATTACAGAAAACTTCTGGGTGATGTAAATTTCGAATATAATACAAGCTTTGCAGCTGCACTGGGAAGTTTTCGACCTACGAATATTTTGAGCTTGCGCACTATGAAATCCGATATTTGTGTCGGATTGCCAAATGACGTAGCTGAATTCTTTGATCAGCACAAAGATAAACTGATAACCGGAGAGTATGGTCTTATTCAAGCAGCTTTATTTAAAATCTAAAGTATATCAGATCTCTTTGTAAAATAAAAATAAAATCGTTGATTTATGATAATTGTTGAACATCTTTGAATTATGATAATCGTAATTACTTACGTTTATCACACTGTATAAATATACGAAATTATATAGCACGATATTTGTACATATTGTACACAGATATGCACGAGAATATTTATCTATGTGTAAAATAATATTTTGAAAAGTATATTTTTCTTGCAAAAGAAATTGAGCTTGTGGGCTCAAAAAAAACTTTATATTTCTTGTAACATATCCATATTTATTCTGTGCCATATTGTATATTAATTATTCGATCCGTTATAGTCTGTACATATTTCTATATAGATACGTAAATAAAATCTATATCTAATTACAACTATTTTCTAATATTTTACACAAATTTTTCATCTACATTTTATAAATTGAACTATTTTGATATATAGTTATTTTACGAATTAAATTTTCTTATGACAAATTCAGCAATTAAAACAAATGCTGTTGATTTGTAACTAAATTATGCAATATAATGATAAAAATAAGGATGTCTTAATAAATACAAGTTGCCAGTGTACATAGTAATGATTATCTACTTTTTTTACAAGTCTGTATAATAAAATTGCTTAGAGAATCAGTGTTAAAAATTTTTTTGTTTCATCGTAATTGAACAATACGCTTTTAAATGATTGTTTAAAGTTATAACTATTCTTTATTGTTGATTGCTTATTTAATAAGTTATGACACGCTCTTATATATCAATTCTTATACAATTCAAAACGCTGCTCAAGCTTACTCTTCATATCAATGATAACACTATACTATTCTCTATTTAATTAACATATTACATATATAAGTCAAAAAAGAAATTTAATAAAAAGTAATAAATATTGATTATTTCTTGTTTATTCAATTTCAATCGACGGTATATTACATACGTGTGTGCACATAAAATTATAAAGCAAGTCTGTATGGATATAATACTATATTTATACAGAATATTCAAATGTGTAAAATTAAATTTCTATGTTTTGATTTAACTGATTTGACATTAATTCGACGCTCTTTGTATACTTCAAGTATAATAAATTTATCGCAATAAATTATAAATAAAATTTTAAATTGCAAAATATAAGAAATACAATTTCAACAAGTATGATCTGATTTAGTGTCCATGTAACCGCACAATAATTATTATAGGCCAATCTTTTAAATTGATATATCTGGACATTTTCCAGCACTCGTTAAAATTTTTGATTCTTAAGTTTCTATAACAAATATTCATATAAAGATATGTTCTTCATTGTGAAACTTCAACTGGGAATAATGCCATGTTTACATAATTGTAAATGACAGATTTCGAAAGAGATTTAGAATCTCGCACATAGCATCAGTTGCAAATATTTATTTTACCATCATTATATAATATAAAACATTGTATATTCCGATCCGTAATTAAGTAGAACTCGTTTAATCGTACTCGATTTTTCATATCAAAGCATCGTAAAAGAGACAGATTTTACCAAGTGGCAATAAAGCTTTATCAACTGATTTTAAGATTAAATGTAATAAAAATTAATGTATATTAGCATTCACAAAACTTTGAGTAAATTCGTTTTAATTATGAATATGCTATAAAGACTACAATAATATGAGCAATAATTGTAATAATAATTATAATCACTATTACAATAAAAGAAGTAATAATTATTATAATACATTTTAGCAAATAACTTAAATGCACTATAATTTAACTATTATTATCATCAAGTACTTGATTTATATGTGCTGATATATGCTTGTCCAGCAAGCTTTCAGATGAAATAGTATTTTATTAATATGACATTAGATAATTTCTCTATAGACAATTTTTAATACCCATAAATAAAAATTTATAAAGAATGTATATGTATGCATTATTTTCGCGTATACATATTACTTTTCTATGCAAGTATAAGTGACACAAATAATCATTATTATAGGTTATAGTTATTAGAATCATAAAAATTCAATTTTAGTTAAAATTTGATCTTACAATTAGATAAAACATTATCATTTAAAATATGAATTATAAAAGTCATTTGATATCTCTTGTATTGTAATCCAACATCTCTCTAATCATGTCAATCCAATATGCGTCCTACAAGATTTATTTGGAAAGTAAGTGCCCCAATTATAAAGAACTTAAATACATGAAAAAGTATTAATTAAAAATTAAATCTGATTACTACTGATCTGAGCAATTACTATTTATTTTCCTACTTTATTTATAAAGAAAATTGAAAATGAAGCAAAAACATTTAATTTTTTTTATTAAATATGTCCTTTTTTATGACTGGCAGTTACTTCCAAATGTTCTGGTCTTAATATCTACACATTTCGCATGCATATCTATATAATATATTAGCAATCAAGAAAACATTATGAATAAACAGAAATTTTGGAATTTATATTACAATAATTTTTTGACAATTACAAGTTTTGCGATACATTTTACGTTGCTCTTGTAACATACAATATATGCTCTATCGAGTAGAATTCAATAATATTCAATAGCAGATTATATCATTAAAATTTACTGACAAACTCTAAAAAATTATTTTTATAATACCAAACATATTATTTACAAAATTATGTTTGAAAACAAGGCTAAAATAATGCCTCAGATAACGCCTTCAAAATATGCTTGGCGTAGAGTATTGCACTTCATATTTATTCTTATAAATATTTAAAAAAATGTTCCAGACACATATTCTTTTAAATCATCAAAAAATAAAAATAGATAAAAAAATAAATGTTTTAATGTAAAAATAAGAAAGTTTGGCCCCATACTTTTGGGCCAATTAATATCTCAATTATTTCACAAAGGATATTAACAAATTCCAACTACCAAAAGTTGATTTTGTTGTTATATTTAATAGTCTCAGAACAAGCAGCTTGTAATACTATACATGAACTAATCTATATGTTCAACTATCAAATTACAATGAAGTTATCACTTATCTAAGAAAATTTTGAATAACATATAAAAATGTCGGTAACCGATAATAAATAGTTCATCATCATTCCATTTTACAAATCTGAGCAGTTCATTGCCACATGGTAATCAGTACAATCTGTTTATATGTATGTATATACCAGAAGACATTGTAACAATATAACGAATCTGTATGAAAAGTGAACATTTATATAGAAGTAGTTGTGCAGAGAATTTCATACAAAATTTATAACAGTTAAATGATAACCAGAAATGTGGCACTTTGCGAAACGTCGCACGAAGTTAGCCATCGCGTAAAATTATAATATCTATTAATATTATCTACATAATGAATGAAATTAACGATTTAAAAAATGTGTCTAAAATTCTTTTCTGGACGAAAGATTTAAAATGCACGTGTACAGATTGATTGAACTTAAAAGTATTTAAAGGAACGCGATTTAATCTTAATGACTCGCGGATATAGCGCGAAAATTCTCTATGACGTAAAGGAGGCACATGTATATACTATGTATTAAAAATTAGGATTTAAAGGAATATATGTACATACTTGTATATTTCACAAAATTATGGCTAAAAACATATATATAATCTAGATTCCTTCAACACTGCCACAGTATCCATTTTGAGGCACCCCGCATAGTGTCCTGTGTCTTATATCGTTTATGAAACATAATACATTCGTAAACACAACGGACAAGCAAGAAAGACGGAAGTTCAATGCAATGTAATCGTTCTTTCCCAAATGAAGTAGTACTAGTCCAGCACGAGGCATACATTCACGCTCATTATTTTATAATATTTAAATATTCATTATCGGCTATCAAATATGTATTAAATAATAATAACGGAAATGAATAAAATTTTCTTTTAAAAGTTTTCTATGTAGTCAAATACGGATAATTTGGTCTGAATCATGTAACAAGATTTTTTTTTATCTATTTCACGTAATTGTCGCAACTAAAAGACATGCAAAATCATTAAGTTCATTATTCACATTAGTATAAGAATAATAGTATTATACAATACATAATAATAGAATTTAATAGTAGAAAACTATTCCGCGTCCACGAAATTTAAGAGTTAGTAACTGTTACTTGGTGAATGCAGCAAATACAGCCCAGAGTACCGGGTTCGCGTTACGTTTAGCGGCTTCCGCCTCGAAATCGAGGTCTAATAATGTCCGTACTCTTCGCATCGCTACTTCATAATCGTCGTCCGACAATGGCGCAAATGCATTTTCTAATACATCAGCTGCGTGTGCTAAAATAACTAATGCCAACGTTCGTCTATCCATGCGAGCGGCATCATTCACCCAACGGCCTAATACAGCTTCTTGGATCTGGAATACAGACAGTAACATATGCCATTCTATTCATAGATTATGTAACTCCATTCAGCATCAATATTCCTTTAAAAATATAGGACATATTTTTCTATTATTTGTTTCTATATTTTTATACATTTTTTACCTTTATTCTAAGAACACCCTATGTATATCTTTTAGCATAATTAATAAAAAACGTAGAATATTTAATGCTACAGATTTAATTTATAAATTAAATTTTCAACTTGTGCTACTTTATTTATATAGAGATTTCCTTAAAATATTATTATTATTCTGTGTTATGTATGTGTTAGTAAATTAATAACTACATGAAAAAAATAATAAATATATATGAAATTATATATACACATAATTATATCATACATGTATATATATATATACATATACGCATTTAATTTGAGAGCTCATATCTTTCCATTTCCACATGTTTTTAATGTAGGATATTAAAGCATATATAAAGATAAGATATTACTTCCGTAGATAATAACATAGCAACACTATAGCATAAAACATAGAATGAAGTCTCCAAATATTGAGAGAGGTATTCCATTTATGTAATCTGTATGAGAGCATAGGTCATAAATTAGAAAGTTTTTCTGTCTGAGTAAACACTGCTTACTTTTGAAAATATGTGATAAGGTCTAACGAATTTTCTATTGTAAACAATAATATTTGTGATCTGGTAAGTCAGTTTAATATAAGTGATATGTCACAGTACATGTGCGTAAATGTTATTATTAATATTGTTATTATTATTATCAGTATGTAAGGTGTATTTTTAAATGCGCAGAATATACTCTTGAATATATATATATATATATCTGTACTGTCTGTGTCTGTATCTACACTTGTATGAGTCACTCAGCCTTGTGAAATAATAATTCTCAAAATTTCAAAAGCACGCTGTATATGTATCGATAACCAAAAAGTGGTATTGTAAAAGTAATTTACCTTTTTCACAAGACGACTTTTGGCGAGGTTGTCGGTAAGAGGATGAGTCGTCATATCAAACAGTAAGAAATTTTGTTTCTCCGTGGTTAAGACACCCTTCTCGACAAGATTTTTCGCCAGCCGTTCTCTGACGTTTTTCAACTGATACCTTAATTTCAATGGGTTCCACGTTTCTCCTGCAACCACGCGAGACACATTTTAGGACCAATACCTGGTGCGTGAGTACAGCAATGAAGGAACTAACCACTGAGATATTCTATCCAACTCTGCACAGTCTCCGGCGGGTCTGTGTCCTTTAAGTGTTTCAAAGCTTCGTCCAGCAGTACGTCTCCCGTAGGCGCGTCGTTCTTCAACAGGAGCTTTCTGGCCAGCAGGCTCTTCTTACGCATGCCGGCTTTCTCCAGCTCGACCCTACCCCGAAAGGCGAGCTCCGCCAAGATACATCCCCTTAATCCGGAACTTATGCAATCGTTCCAGAAGGACGTGTATCCCTATCGAAAAAGAGAGAGAGAGAGAGAGGACAGAGTGTCAGACGCAAACCGGGTCATTCGCGAGAAGGAGAGAGAAAAATAATTTCTAGGGGCGTGAATGAACCTCTTTATCCTTGAGACCGAGCAGCAGGACCTCCTCCATGAGTGTCAGACGCGTCTCCTTGTCGGAGTCGTCGTCGACGGTGGGATTGCAGTTGAGATCCTTCTGGGACAGGCAGTCCGTGTCCGGGCTCTGCCCGGACAGCTTGTCGTTGTGGCCGCCGAGATCGGCGTTCGAGCCATCCTGGCCGTGGCCGCTGCCGCCGCCGCCGCCGCCGCCGGCGCCGCTGCCGCCGCTGTTCACCACGCGTCGCCGCTGCACCAGCCCGTCACCGCGATTCATCGTGCGGCGCGCAGGTACCACGACGGGCCACCACCACCACTCTCGGGGAAGTACGTCCGCGTGTTTCGAGGGGAGGATCCACCACCGCGATCACCTCAGAGCGTTGACGCTCGATCGAAAGCGGACGCGATCGGTCTCGGACGGTGTTGTCGTGATTAGAGGGAGCCGGCGCGGGCATCCATCGCACGGTAAACACTGGGCCGTTGACGTTTACTCCAAAGCGACATGTCTCATCCAAGATGGCCAGGCGGCCCCCTTCTCGCTGACCTCCTCCACGTCCGGCTCGCGCGATTGCCTCGCGGTGGGCCGAGTCAGCGCGGCGGATGACGCGCGGCGCGACGCGACGCGACGGGCGACCGACGACGTGAAGAGCGACGGGCCGTGCGAGGAATGTGCGTGTGTGGGACACCGCGCGGGTACCTCCTCGCAGTCTGCCTTCTGTCGGCCGCGTTTAACGTGACACCGACTCACCGCGAGGCACGACACGTCCGCGAGGAAGGCGCTAGTGCGAGGTACACGTGCGAAATCGCGAAACAAGTCCGGAACATCGAACTCGTACTGGAGGTCCACTCGTGCCACGCAAAGGCAGGAAAACGGCAAGGACGAACGTCTATCGCACCCGCGGCAACAATCACGAATCAGCGAGCGAAGCAGTGTCGCCAGAACGCAGAGGTGTTTCGTACCAACCTGAACGACGCGGGGATCTATTTACCCAGCATATTACACCGAGTGGCCATTGGCTCTCGCGCGCGGCATGTGATCGCGCTAGGGAATAACTCGGGGCGCCCAATCGGCCTTTCGCTTTTCCGGAATTAGTGATAGACATTGATAAGACACCTGTGTGCAAAAAAAATAGACATTTCCGGTATTGGGCATTTAATTCGTATTTATACTGGCTATATACTATATTCGTGCTCCGTTGTTGTGTCGACTGGAAAGTTGAAAACTGTTTCTTTGTTATTAATTAATTATTGCGAAAATTTAATTATGCTTGTATCTATATTTAATTATCTTTTATTTAAAAGAAATTTAGTTGATATTGCTATAGCGATATTTATTGTTGGTAAAAAAGCACGCAACTTTATATAAGAAATTTCAAACAATGAATATAACAAATTTTTAAATAAAAGCCTCATTTTTCCTTATCTGATAAATTATAATAATAAAGAAATAATTAAGGAGGAGTAAAGCTATCTGGGAAAAAAGTTCCATATATAATTATATATAATTATTATAATTATATGCAAAATATGTCCATATATGTTTTTTTCCTTTATAAAATTATTCTTTACAATACAAAATTGATAATAATAAGAAGGAAACATAAAATACAATTAAAAGAATAATTTTTACATTGTTTCTTTTACAAAAAATAAAGTTTGAAGAAATGAGAAAAATTGCTCATATATAAGTGATTAAAAATATACATATATAATTATATAACAATTTATGAACAATTTTTCTTATTTCTTCAAACTTGATTTTTTGTAAAAAAAAAACAATGTAACAATTATTCTTTTAATTATTTTTTATGTTTCCTTCTTATTATTATCAATTTTGTATTAAAGAATAATTTTACAAAATTAAGAAAGAAACTATATATATAGACATATTTTGCATATAATTATATATAATTATATATGGAATTTTTGTCCCTTGCAATTAAAGTCTCTTAATTGGAGTTTCAACTAATGGTTATTTATAAATAAGATACTCTTTAGCAAGTACAAGGAATAATATATATTATATATAATTTTATATAAGAAATTTTTAATATGATCGAGATATATTATTAATATAAAATAAACATTCTTAATTGAAAGCTTCATTCACCCTCCTCCCAAAACATTTTTAATTGAAAATTTAATTCACTTTCTTGCATTTATTAAATATTTTTTACATAAATAATGTTTACAATCAGATCGATTATTTTAATTGTCAGAATTTAAATCTCAATAGCTTCTAAGTATCATATACTTATTTCAAACACTAAACACACATATCGATCGTGCCGCAGGCAATTGATATGCCATGACAAAGTTGGGAATATTTTATTACACAATAGCACGATCCGATATATACGAGTTAATAATATCACGGTTTTAGTTTCCGGTTAGGAATTTATCCGGTCAGCGGATTCTCCCGATGTTTAATCGAAATATCTTCGTATTTCATCATTCGTCTCTTCTGCCTGCTATTTTATGTAATAACAGCGCTCTGTTCTATTATCTTCAAAATTATCATCAGACGTGCGTTCACAATGGAAACCATCTGTGAACACGTCCAAGCGTTTCGCGAAAGTCTTATCGCTTCCGTGCAAATAACGTGCTTATCAAATGTTTAAAAAAAATGTTAATATGCTAACATTATCAAGATTGTCGACAAACGTAACAGATGCGCGAAAATCTGCTGCTGCAATAATTTGTTACAATAAAAGCAACAAATAAAAACTGTCGGAAGGGTTGAACTATCCCGATCAGAACGATTCCGTTTCTCGTAAGTTATTGTATCATGAATAATCAAATATTATCGGGATCATATCTTTCGTCACCTTGCAAGCATGTGGAAAATTCAATCTTAATCGGGTGCGGCTGTTCGATCGAGAAAGATATCTTATTATCTTATTATATATAAATATATATATATATATA